AGTGGCGGAACGCCAGGCCCCTGGTAGTTCCGCCACTGCATGCACCACATGCACAGATCCCACATGTTTAGCACCCCCATATTCCCATTCAGAAAGAGTAGAAATGCAACAGCTCGCCTAGAATGCGGTACCGTGCACCACACACAGATGCCACATGTTTAGTACCTTCATATTCCCCTATACTTTGTGGATTTGTCCCATGGTTCAGGACACATGGGATGCCTGGCTCAGAGATCCCACCAGGAGGTGCATTGGGGTGCCATTCAGAAAGAGTAGAAATGCAACAGCACGCCTAGCATGCGCTACACACCAGATCCCACACGTTCAGCACCCCCATATTTCCCTATACCCCTTGTGGGTTTGCTTCCTGGTCCAGGGCACAAAGGAGAGCTGGCTCATAGACCTTACCAGGAGGTGCTTGGGGGTGCATTCAGAAAGAATAGCAACCCAACAGCACACCTAGCATGCGGTACCGTGCACCACACACACAGATCCCACATGTTTAGCACCCCCATATTCCTATTCAGAAAGAGTAGAAATGCAACAGCACACCCAGCATGCTGTACCGTGCGCCACATACACAGATCCCACACGTTTAGCACCCCCCATATTCCCCTATACCCCTTGTGGGTTTGCCCCCCTGGCTCAGGACACATGGCTGGTCTGGCTCAGAGATGACACGGTTGATGGTGTTTTAGGCAACTGACTCCAATAGTGGTCTTGTAAAATGCTTTATTATCTATTACCGGCGCGGCTTTTGCACCAGCACAATGTGTTCCCACTATGAAAATACATTCCCTACCGGCACGCAGCATTGCAGTAAGTCGCTGCCGCCCTATGGCACAAGTGACCGTGTTTTGCATCGGAACACAACATCCCGACACGTGCGGCCCAGAAGCTCCGCCGAATAACAGCGGCGCGCTTTCTTTTCCAAGTCTTGTCCTTTCACACGCCTTCCGTGGCAGCATTTCATTGCCAATGCGTTTCTCTTCACGGGAACACAACACAGCGGAGGCAAATAAGGTTTATAGGAATACAATGATTATGCAAATGTTGTGAACAAGCACAAAGTGGCTTTTGTAACTTACCTGGAAGTGAGTTTTGCTGAAAGCCTCGTCCTGGGCTGCTGTGATGTTTACCCGTGCCGTGGGGTTCTCTATTTCTCTGCATGGGTTAAATCAGGGGTAGGCAACCTGGGCACTCCAGTACAAGATGAGTACTTATCCCTTCCCCCCATAGCCAAACCCAACGGTAGACAACCTGGGCACTCCAGTACAAGATGAGTACTTATCCCTTCCCCCCATAGCCAAACCCAACGGTAGACAACCTGGGCACTCCAGTACAAGATGAGTACTCATCCCTTCCCCCATAGCCAAACCCAACGGTAGACAACCTGGGCACTCCAGTACAAGATGAGTACTTATTCCTTTCCCCCATAGCCAAACCCAATGGTAGACAACCTGGGCACTCCAGTACAAGATGAGTACT